AATTCAAATGAAACTTGGCTGACACAATAGATTCCAGTTATTTGCTACAGAAAGAAAGTACATCAGTTGAAAATGCTCATAAGGAAGTGGTAGTAATGATATGCAATGAATATTCTATCAAATATCAATATGGAACATGTGCACTGAAATACAGTGATTTTGTGAGGAAAAGGTTTTTGCCATTCCCATCAGCAGCCCTCTACCAATTCTCACACCCGTTTGAGTTTAGCCTTGGTAAAACTCACCTACTTCCTCAACAAGAACAGCCCATTAATTCAGATGAACTCTCATCTGTCCATTTCAAACAGTGCATCTAAATGTATTTTTAAGTCCTGTACTGATCTGCTCCATCTTTTCAATTACATGTTCTCCCTATTACTTCAGCAAATATACCTGTGAAGCCAAAAATATATATAGGAGTATTGTTAGTTATGAAGATCCCTCACTCTAGGAAGAAAACTTGGTCAAAACTTTCTCTTCACAGCTAAGGTAATAATCTCACTGAAAGATTGTTTTAAAATGAAAGCATGCTGTTTGTATAATAAAATGTGACTGAGTCATGTGTTTTAAAATAATGTACAGCACATATATAATTTTGGGATGGGCATATTATTGTGCAGTGACTCCTTTGCTAGGTAAATTTCTTTGTACCTGCTTTAACTTTCCATTGTCAGCATATGTTAGAAAACTTTGTGAGGTTAGTTTTGTATTTTTCCCTTAGAAGCGATTCCTCTGTCTTCCTTTTAATTCACCTTTATATTGCATATAAACTGCCTGCTTTTTTATAGTTACTGAAATTCTTGTTCTTGTTCAATAAAATGTTGCCATTTCTTTTTCACAGGACAAAATATTAATCTTAAGTGGCAGCTTCTTCTCAGATTAAGAAAGCTTAGTAAAGATTAGAAAAAACTATGATGCTGACATTGATGGTTGTGCTATGAGAAGTGACGATGAATGTATAATATACTCTTGGCAAATAAGTACAAAGTAAATTCAGTGATATGAAATACCCATGATTTTGATGTTAAAATAAAGGTCCATAAATGTTTAATTAATTTGTACTACTTATCCATTCATATTCCATATTCATTTAGGAATAAATGCATCCTCAAGAGTTTTGTCCAAACTATGATAATACAATAATCAGTAAAAGCTCAATTTACCTTCTTAGAAATTATTATTAAAATAATTCCAAGGTCACCTTAGGAATAGTTAGAAAATGCATTTCCAAACAAAAATAAATTAGTATTACTTGTATTTGTCTCTGAGTCTTCCTGAGGACTTTTGTGGAAAAAGGAAGGCGAGATTAGGTTATGAGTATGAGCACCACTTCGAAGCGATGTTGGTCAAGACAGGACCTTGAGAGTGGACTACTGAAAATCATTCTGCCATTCCCTCTTCACATCGTTTCTCCATTGGGTTCGCAATAAAAGCAGTTAGGAAATTTAGATTCCTATATTTAGTTGCTAATCTCTACCATAAAGCTTGCAGATTAAGTGGACAGATTAAATTACGAGTGTCTTGAGTTTTAGTGTGTTGGGATATGTTAAGCAAGCACAATTCCTTTAGTTAATATATGTGTATATTAATGACTACATACTGATATATAATGCCATAATATAGTGAATGTGCAACTTAATGACATGTATTTGTGTGAACTGACATGTACAAAAGATGGAATCTGTGAAACTCACTCAAAGCTGGCCAAAGGCAGAAAGGCTTGTTCAGGAAGATTTCAGTTATGCAGCACATAAAGAATGACAACCTCAAAGAAGGCACAAGTTCAGGTATGTCTACAGGGTATGCTCAAACAAGGCAAGATGGTTGTCACATTGGTGCAATTGAAGCTCCGCTTGCAACACACATAAAAAACAACCAGAACTTTGAACACACCATCATGACCTCTGTTTTGACTTTTTTTTTTTACCATACCCTGTGGACATGCCTGCACAAGATAAAGGAAATATAATTCTCAAAATAAGAGGTAATTCCCACCTGAAGTGGATGAGGCAAGGGTACTCTGGTAAAAAGAAGAAAAGGGGTTTTGTTGTAAATCCAGATTTATTTCTACATGTCTGAATCTCTGCATAAAAAGAACAAGTAGCATCATGACAATTATTTATTTTTTATTACCTTTAGCTGCATTCTATTTATCTTGCAATTTCCACTATTTGTTCTGACATCCAGTTTGCTTTCTTCAGTTTCTTGATCTTGGGCAGACTCTTTTTCAGATTCATTCATACTTAACAGCTTCTTTAAATTAATTGTAATTAATTGTAATTTCTTTGTTTGATTGTTGTGACCCACCCATAGTTGTTGGGAGTTGGGCAGCATACAAATTTAATAAATTATATAATAACAATTCCACAGTTTCTCTTCTTCCATATCAATGATGTTCAGGACTTCAAGCAATTCCTGATATTCTCTTTGAAAATGATGGGTATATGTTCAAGATCATATCATGAAAACTGGTATGCTTTCTTATGCTTTAGTTTAACTTGGAACTTGCACATGGGCATTTCATGATCTGTTCCACAGTCAGCCCCTGGCCATGTCTATAATAGGTATAAATGCTGTTATACCTGAGCATTTCCACCTCCTTGTACCAATACTACAGTCAATTTCATTTCTATGTACTTCATCTGGTGATGTCTATGTACAGTATACAGCCATTTGTTAGTTTAAAGACTGCATTCACAATGAAGAAATCATTGCATAGGCAGTAAATGATAAATTGGTATCCTGCTTCATTTCCTAGGCCATACAGTCCAACTACATTTTCCCATTTAATATTTCCAACTTTGAAATTCCAGTCTCCAGCCACAAGGACCACATCTTGGTTGCATGTCCTGTTGATTTCCGATTGAACTTAATCATGAACCTCATAAGACTCTTCTTCTATATCAGTGGTTGGAGCATAAATAACCATCAAAAGGTTGCCTGCTAAGGTTGTCTGTCGCCCAGAGTCGCTCAGTGAGATGGGTGGTGACAAATTCAGTTAAAAAAAAAAGACGATATTATTTGTTAATTGATTGCACTGTAACCAAATACTGCTCTTACTATACTTTTCCTGATTATGAAAGCAACTTCATTTCTTCTTTGTTTTTCATTTCCCAAGCAGTAAACAGTGTGATCTGACTGAAAGTGTCCAATTCCAGTACATCTTTAATTTACTGATCCCTAAGATGTAAATATGTAGTTGATTCATCTTTCACAGTGTTGAGCTTTTCCATGTTCATTCTTCTTACGTTCCATGTTCCCACTGTAATTCTGTCTTTGCAGCTTCAGTTTTTCTTTTCCTGCATGACAACATCAGCAACTAGGGATCCCAAAGGCTTTAAACTAGCCAGGAGTGTCATAAACCATTAGCTCTTCCTCAGTAGCATGTTCAGTGCCATCCTACCTGAGGGGCCCATCATCCAGCACTGTACCGTCAATCATTTTATATTGTCTGCCCATGTAGGTTTTTTTGTAAAACACAGAAGTGGTTTACCAGTGCCTTGTCCCATGCAGTATGAAATGATGCCTTTGCCGCTGTCATTAAGGTAATCATCAGCCTCCAGCATCTTACATTGCTGTCTCCCAATGTAGGTGCCTGCTTGCTTTAGCTGGGTATCTCAGATGACCTTCACACCTTGAGTGAACCTACTGGGATTATATTCTGTTAGTTTATACTCCTGGTGTTCTTTACGCATCCCTCCCAGGAACCCCTCCCTCCCACAATGAAGCTGCACAGCAGACACCATGAGGGCTTAAAATGGTCCCTAGTAAGGTTTATAAATTAGCATGTCATGGAAATACCCATACCAGTCCAAGAGTAACTGTTCTTGCCTACATTCATCTTTTATTAGCCAACCACTTGCTGTAATTGTAGTAAATAACTATTTTATTTGAAAATTTCCTCTGAGAATTTTTGGAAATAGATCACTGACCTTTCCCTCCCTTTCCCCAACAACAATGCATATTTGTCATCCTCCTCCTTCCTCATGACATTAACTATCCAGCATTCTGTATAGAGAGGACTGCAACAACGAAGGAATAGGCAAAAGGCCACAGTAATTAAGGCTGGTTGAAAGAAAGAGTTAATACAGTACAGAACATTACACAGGGAAAGCAGCACAGCTTTACAGCCACCCTGCTTATGTGGAAAGCAGTGCAAAAGGAAATAAAAAGGCTGTGCTTCGTGCCAGGCAAGGAGAGTATCTCAGTCGGTTGGGGAAAGAAATGGGTAGCTCAGATAGCAACGGTGATGACATCTCCAGCAGGCAGCTCTAGATTTTTAACTGGATGCAGGTAACGTGACTATTTTCATTCTTGAGTCTGCAACATGATTTGTGGTGACTGGATAGCCAGAAGACAACTAGGACACCAAAGCGACTTTACTCTCCCACCTTGGATATCATCTGTCTTGGCTTTCTCGAAAAGCTAAGCCAGAAGGCGGTGACAAGCCACGTCCATCCTGACCAGAAAGCTAACACACGCAATCGAGGTCGACCAGAGGAAGAGGCTATTTACTTTTTTTGTATTCATACCCGGCTCACCTAACCATGCGTAGGGTGACCAGACCTCCCGGACTGCCTGGACAGTTCTGGGCGCAGACACCTCCCCTCGCTAAAAAAACCGCTAGGAAAATACCCCGCTTTACAGGAGCCCAGCAGCGCCGCCCGCACTGCGATAGGCGGCGCGAGTAGAACAGGGGGCCAGAAGGCTGCGAAAGGAAAGGGGAAACTTTAGTCGTCGTCCAGATGTTTGTAGCCAAACAACAGTAGCCCTAACTATAGAAGGTGACACCCCGCCCTGCCCCCGTGCCCGTCCGTCGGATGGACGGGTCGGACCCGAGCGATTACTCAAACGTCCCTGCCTAGCGCGCAGCGTCAGACGCAGAAGCGCCGGAGCAGCATTCGACGCGCCGAGTCCTCGGTTCTCCAGGCGGAGACATGCAACGGCCGCCACGGGAGCTTCTCCGCGCTCGGCACGTCTTGCGGGTCGTGACGCTTCTGCTCCTACCTCAGGGCTCTCTGGGTGGGTACGAGGCAGCGCTTCTTGCCTTAACTCCGCACCGGTTGCGCGGATCTATCAGCTCCAGAGCCTCCTCTGGCCCGCCCTCCCGCTTCGCGTGTGGCGAGGCAGGATCCTCCTGCTCGGCGTTGATCTTTGCTTCGAAGCGCCGGAGCCAGAGGATCCGCGCAGACTTCGTCTTGGCCCCTAGTGAGCCAGCCACATGGGAAATAGATTTGGCTCCGTGGCTCCGGTTGCCCCTGTGATTGTCACAACCGTGAAGCGGTGTAAATCGGTTCAGGCTGTAATCCTGTGTACACACTTGCCTGTGAGTAAATCCCTTCGAACTTGTTTCTGAGTAGGCCAGTGTAGGATTGTACTGTCGAATCTCTAGTGGCTACACTTGCTTGGGAGGTTTGGAGTTTGCTGGATTTTCGGTGAGTTTAGCTAAAGAATTTCTGGAATGGCAGCTGTGTGGCTGATGCAAAGACACCTCATTTCCAAGGGCTGGTGAATGCTCTCTGTGGGTGGAGTTAACCTGAAAGCTTTACTGCTCAATCTGGCAACATCTGTCCTCAGAAAGTTCTGCTCTTACTTCATGTGGCTCTTGCTCTTTTCTTGCCCATCAAAAAGTCTTCACCCGCCAGTGAGTTTCGTGCATCACCGATCTGTTACATCCAGGGTGGCAAAATCTTTTTTGACATTACATTTTAATGCTAGTGGCAGGCAAAAATGGAAGAAGAGCTTTTCATGTGATTATTTCTGCGCCACATGATCAACATAATCAACATCTGTATAGATCTTACTCTGTGTGGAGTAAATATAAGCAGATTTTCTTATATTAATAATTTCATTGAGGGAATAGTTTCCTTGCAACTTTCTGTGTAAGGTGGTAGTCTGTTTTATTTTATTTGCTTGCTGTGGCAAGCTGTCGTTCACATTTGTACATTAAAATAGCTAGCTGGAAGGTGGTGATTTTATTTATTAAAATGTTTCAAGGTAGGTGTATTTGGAAGCTGTCACATGTGAAGAGCTTTTTAATGTTCTTTGCGTCTGTGAAGATGCCCTCAGCTAACAGGGCTTGTCTATTTATGAATATATTGTATATAAATAACACATCCAAATACTATATCCTTCAGTCAGAATGTTCAGACTGTTTGCCTTCTTCCCAGACAAAATAATAGTACACGAAAATGCAAGAATGTTAAGTTTGCAGATTTCAAAGAAAAAGAAGAAAACTTTCTCCCCTTCTGCTTTATTCACTCCTCCCTTTTTCTAAGAGCAATGGAAAGGGACAAAGAGAATGAGTGGCCAGGAGACAGGAGAACTGCTGCTCCTCTCCCCCCTTCTCTCTCTCTTTGACTAGGCTTCAAGGTGTGTTTTACCTTTCCACTTTACATGGAATTACCTTTAAACATTACTGGGAAGCCACAAATGCAGCGGCCCACATTTATTTATTTTTATTTATTTTAAAAGACTTATATAGTCACCCATTTTATGTAATAATAATAATTTATAAAATGCATGTGCTGCTTGACTCCGTGTCTCTGGGCAGTTTACAAATGGTTAAGAACATTTAAAATAAGAAAACAATGCAAAACAAAAAAGCAAAGATGGCAGAGATAACAAACCCGGATGGGGACAGAGAAAAAGAAAAAAACTGGCCGGGCAGATACTACGGGAGACAGGCAGTCCCTCAAGTAACTAGGCCCTGTGCCATGTAGGGCTTTATAGGTAGCAACCAGCACCTTGAATCGCACCTGGAAGCAAAATGGGAAGCAGTGCAGCTCACAAAGCAGAGTGTCACAACAACATAAAAATATAAAAGCTAGAAAAACCATAACGTGCTAGCTGGCATCCTGGCACATGTTACAAGTGCACTGTGGGCCTGCACTGCCTACCAGTTGGTTTCTGGGTTAGGGTTAAACTTCTGTTTTTGACCTGTAAACTTGGAGGCACCTGGGTTCCTGCAGAACAGCTTTCTCCAACCTGAATCTGTCTTTTAGGTCATCCAGGGAAAAACTATTCATAGTTCCCCACTTTTGGGAAGAGAAGGGAGCTGAAGCTAGGAGGTCATGCTTTTCAGTGGCATCACCCATCTTCTAGAAGTCTCCCAACAGACATCAAAGAGGCTCCCTCATTGATGGCACTCAGGAGGATGCTGAAAAGTGAACTGTTCTGGAGAACATTCTAACTAAGGAGTTTTAGCCATCTCTTATTTTTATTTTTACCTTATTGTTATTTCTTACTTGCTATTATTTTTTATCTTGGCCTACTTGGACTTTATGGTTTCATTTTGTTTTAAATTATTAACTGTATTTTAAGACTTACTGTGAATGCTTTAATGTTCGTATATCCTGTAAATCACCAAGAGTCACTTGGATTCTGGTGGGATAGAAATAGAATAAATAGATTTTTTTTTTTTAAAGTAACCCCTGTTCTAACTTTTGCTTGGTTGATATATCACACTAAGCAATAAATATAGTTTATGGAGCATGGTGGCAGTGATTATATAGTGGCCTAAGCTAAAAATAAATTAACCATATCCTGCTTAGTGCAGTGGGGAATACAATCGATGTTTTTAGAGCCGCAGCATGAATCTTCAAAGAATTCTAGAAAAATAGCCTTTTATAGTAAGACTGACAGGATTTAAAATAATAATGTAGTGATAATAGTCTTTAAGTATCTGAAGGGTTGTATCTAAAGGAGTAGACCTATTCTCTGCTGTACCAGAGGGAGACCCAGGATCAATAGGTGAAAACTGTAAGGAAGTAGGTTCAGGCCAGATGTTGGAAGAACTTCCTGACTGTATGATCTATCAGCCAGGCTTTCATGTGAAGTGTTGAGTTCTTCACTAGAGGTCTTCAAACAGGCTGAATGGTACAATTGTCCTGCACTGAGCAGGGATTAAACTGGATGAGTTCTAAGTTTCCTTCAAATTCTGTTGTATTTATGATTCTATAATCCAATCTAAACTTGTCTACTCGGAAGTAAACCCTCCTGAGTTCAGTAGAGGTTACTCTAAGATAAGTGGATATAGGATTGCAGCCTATTTGTTTTATTGTAAATATGAATCTCTGACAGTGACAGACTACCTCAGAGGTCCTGGTCTTTGGGTCTCTGTAGGTGCTCATAGTGGGAAGATCCAGTCACAAAACAGCCATCTTCTAGAAAGCAAGCTTCTAGAAGGCAATTTATTTTCTGCCACCACATGCCTCTGGAAACTATTGCATACACTTACTTGTGTTTTGATGAATGGACTATTTCCAGATAGAACACTGATCTATAGCTACCTCAACTTCTAATTTCTTTTGCTTTCTAGATTTCACAGATCAGAAATGTTCTTGGAAATGGAGAAGAGGCAATTGATCAGTGCTTTGCACTATGGCAGCTTTTCATATTTTTTAATTTAAAAGAAACTAAAAAGAATTAATAAGAGGCAGAAGCATATGAATATTGATGTCCATAGACATCACACTAGCAACCCTGAAATTATATCATTAAGGGCCCATAGGAGATTGAGAAAATAAGACATTCTTATATGTGTGGAAGGAGATAGAGTGGAAGATAAATTAAGTCATTATTAGATGGATTTTTGAGAAACCATCTCACATGAGACTAGTTGTGAAGAAATGTATATGAATGTAAGAAAAGAATGTAAAAAAAGTCACAGGAGTGAAGAATGCAAAGGACAAGCTTGTCTAGGCAAGAACTGATGTTGTGTAAATCCAAGTACAGTAGGATGCAGGACAGAAATGTTTCCATCTATCTGGGCAACTATCATGCTTTTTCCTCTTTAGTCTTTTTCCTTGTTATGCATCTTTTAAATTGCAAGCCTGAAAACAGGAACCATCTAATTTCTGACCTTTCTAAGCTACTCCAGGAGCCTTGATTTAAAAGAAAGCACAGGGTAAAAACACTTCGGATAAATAAATATATCTACTCAAGTATCTGAATACATGAAGGATATAACAAGAAGAAAAATAAGAGAGCTATTTAAGAAAATTAATGAAATCATAGGGAATTTATACTCCTATGAAATACTCAAGAGTATTTCTGGGAGAGATTTTGGCATGCAAAATTACTCTGCCAAGTTTGTTCCATGTAGAAAACAATGCCCCAATGAGACGCAGGTGGCTTATGGCAGTCCAGACTGTTTGCACCATCCCAAAACATGACCTGCTCAAAGCAGCCAATAGAAATTGAGCAGCTCCCCCCCCCGCATCATTAGCTTAGTTACCACCAAAGTGCATCATACGCAAAGCAAGACTACTGTTTGAAAAAGACAGAAAATGAATGCCAGTTTAACTGTGATCAGAAAAACTCAGTTTGCTGGCATCAGCTACGAACTGGGGATAAGACCAGTTAGTCAGGCATCCTCACACCAAAGTTAGGGAGACAGCTCAATATAACATAAGTCCACAAATACCTAACAGGACTGCATGGCCTTGAGATCAGAAAAGATCAATATGTATACCTGTTCCAGAAAAGAGAGATGCAAAAGAATGTGCAGATTATTGAATCACTGCAATATTTCCTTATACAAGCAGCATCTTGCTTAAAATCTTACAAAGAAAAATAAGAAAGCCATCCATGGAGAAAGAAATCCCAAATGAAAAGGCAGAGGACCAGAGATTAGATTAGACAGTAGTAGAATACAAGGAGTTTTTTCTTGGCTTCCCTGAGTACAGCAAAGCCTTCTACTGTGTAGCCAGTGCCAGAATGTAGAAAATATTAAGGCTTATGGGTCTTGTGGAGTCCTTGTGGTTCTCTGAGCTTGGCTGTTTTCTTGCAGACATTTCGTTACCTGGCTAGGTAACATCTTCAGTGGGGTTTGCTCTCTGTTTATATACAGTGGTTTGTCCTGTGAGTGATGGTGGGGGTGTTGTTTTCTCCTTGGTAGTTCTTTGATTAGGCTGTTGTTTACTACTTGATTGTCTGTCCGCGTTGGTAGTTCTTTGTTTAGCCCGTTGTTTACTACTTGATTGTCTGTCCGCGTTGGTAGTTCTTTGCTTTGGGTAGTGTTTACTGCTTGT